CCCCAAAACCCCAAAACCCCAAAACCCCAAAACCCCGATTTTATGTAAATTAATAAGAAATGGACAGCGAAGAAAGCTCATTATTCTCAAACAAAACTCCTTCTTATAGCCTGGCAGAGAGCATGGCCAGAGTTTTTATTAAGCAGAGAGAATCAAGAAAATAAAAACTCTAAGAACTATCTATGTCTTTCTAAAAGATTCCTCAGTCCTACAGCTCCTTCTGAGAAGGAAGAGACCATCACTGACTTACTTGCTAAAAGTAAGTTAATTTCACCAGGATTTATAAGGTTTAGACAAAAATTCCATTCCCGCAAGTTACCATTCAAAAATTAGGAGGATCGATGACATTGATATTAAGAAGCGGTGAACGCCAAGGAAGTAAGACTTTAGGATGATATATTTCTCTTATTTGTGTAGCTAAAATTATTTTAGATACGCCTTTTTACACAAATCGTTTGGACATAAAAAGGGCACTTCAACAACACTTCTATCAGAACCCCCTTACAAGGCAAGATCTCGCAATAATATGTCAAGCATGAAGCGATCTGTGCTAAAGAATAGAAAATAAGGCTCGAAGAAAAAAGTCAAGAAAATGAGCATTTCCCATTCTCTCAAAATACTCTATTGATGAAACTAGATCTCCAGTTTCTAAAATTCAGCATCAGTGGCAATAGGTAAGAGGGTTACCAAACAATAAAAAAGCCATAAAATACAATGATAATTTCATTTTATAATAGCTATTTGCTATAGAGCCTCTTGCAAAAGATCCAAATTCTACAAAATCTCTCAATAAAAAGAAATAAGTCTCTGATAGTTCTTCAGCATCTCAAGAAATCTCATCGGAAACCACTCAGATTCAATCAGATAGAGGAAATGGTTCCTAGATCTGGAGTTATAGGTGCGAGGTCTAAGTAGGGTTGATAGCTCTTGAATCACAAGAACTCATAAGAGATTGTTTCTTTATGGACATCTCTTAATTTAGATTTATACAATTAACTCTCTTCCCAAGCATTCCCTATTTAATATTGCTTCAGACTGACTAGGAAGTCCAACACATCACCCATTACCGCAATTTGACATCATCAAAAACATCAAAAGATTCAAACCCCACAATAAGAACTCTAAGGGCTCTAAAAAGTAAATTTCCTCCAAAATTCCTCCAATAACCCCATAAAACCCTCATCACCCCAAAAACCTTGCACTCCTACTCCTTAAACCCCTATTTCCCTCCCAAGAAGTCCTAATCCCAACTCCCTGCTCACTTCTCTTCCTAGCCCAAGTCCAAAACCTCGAAACAAGATCTATAACCTAAGCATGTTCCGGAACGAAAGGATCAAACAGATCACCAGTCCTTAAGAAATTTGGAAAATTTTAGAAAATTTCAATGAAATTTTAAGTTTTTGGGGTTTTGGGGTTTTGGGGTTTTGGGGTTTTGGGGTTTTGGGG